AGAGCTTGGGTACTGCAGGTCAGGCAGGCAGAAATGGGAACCCAGCATCTTGCAGTGCCAAGCTTGTATTGCTTCTGCTCTACTTTTCCCAGCCATTCTGCCTTCTCAGGCCCACGGACTGGAGGTGAGGAAGGACACAATGTTGCTACCCACAACTTACTTTTGCTAACTCTGAAGTGGGACCTGCAAACAGTTTGCCTCACAATGTTCGGTGTGACTCCACACATTTTCCAGCGCAGCAGCTTCCTCTGCTCCCAAGGCAGCTTTTCCACTAGGAAGGCAAAAAGTTAAGGACTGAAGGAAAACAAACACAATACTTGGGTTTTCTACAGCTGCAAGGTTCTTATGATTTGCTGCACAGGTACCAGGCCTGCAAAGAAGGGTGCGTAGCCCCCGTTGCAGAACTAGCATGGAGCAGAAGACTCCATAGCTGAGGAAGATCCAGGACACTGGAATTTAGTGGCAGCGTGAGTCATGCTCCAGGCTATGGAAGTAGTATAATTTACTCCAGTCCTTTGGACCTCAGAGCAGTGCTAGGTCTCATCATGGGAGGGGTGAAGGGAAGCCACTCCAGCCAGCTCCCGGCTGTGTGCTGGCACTGCTTGCTTCCTAATTAACGGGCTGCCCAATCTTACCCTGTGTGGCAACAGACCCTGGCTCACCTGTCTCATCCCGAGTACTGAAGTAGATAGTTGGAGGCACATTAGGGAATAAACTGCAGACAAGAGCTGGTTTGAGCACTTTTTCCTGAGCCTCAGCAGGCTGGGCCAGGCACTTGATACAATTCCTAGGAAAGATGAAGCAGGTGGCAGTTGGCTAAAGGTGAAAAGTATCACAGGAAGGAAGGGGGAAGCCAGAAGAAGCCTTGATCCTGGTATCAGGAATTTGCACCATCATCATAATGTGGAACAAGCAATGGGCATTAAGGTCAGTAACCCAGCCTGCAGCGATGAGGGGATGAGCTTGCAATGAATGCACCCACCAAATAAGCACTGTGAGGTTTGTGTTTTGCTGGGGCAAGGAGTGGAAGTTTTTACACGACAAACCCTATAACCTAGTTCATGGGAACAAGGAGTGGAGATTGTAATGCATATGATTTAGCTGTTGTAACCTCTTGGTTTTGGTGTGTTGCAGGGAAGAGGGCTGGAGTTTTACCCACTGTATGTACATCTTAACACAGCAAGCCCCAACACTGGGAAGGAAGGGTAGAAATTGTACCATAGCTCTTAAGGTTGTGATGAAGTGAAAAGTAAAGTTTGCAATGAACATACATTCAAATATATGCCACTGCAGCCAGTGCAAGAAGCCACACTAGAGCAATCACTGAGGAACAAAGAGCAGCAAACTAAAAGGAACCACAACACACTGTCTACCCAGTCTCACAGGCCACCCCTTGCCTCACTAAAGGGACTGAGCGTAGTCTGTGGCAAAGGGATTGGAAACCAGGATGGGGGAAGAAGGGGTGTTTTCCTTAAGTCCTTATGTATATTTTTTTGTCTTTTCAGTATCAGAATCAATAATTAAAAGTTTGTTAATTGGCAAAGGATTATATTAATTAACATTCTCTGGCACAAAACTGGTTTTGCCCACAACAAACTGAAGGCAGGAGACAGCTGCAAAGGCTTCAAGGCCAGTCCAGCACACAGCCTGCACAGGAAGTGGCCAACATACTTCCCTCCTTGCTGCAAGAGGCATTTGGCCCAAGCCCTGCTTCCCCTATCTGCCCCAGAGGCCACCCAGCCACATCCTGCCAGAAACAGCTGCTGGGCCAGTTTACATCACTTCTGTAGGACTTTCACAACCAAATATGCCCACCCAGAACCCTGCAGCACCCTGAGGCTCAACATTTGCTCACAGGAAACCTTGCTTGTCTCCCAGGTTAGTGATGACATGATAGCAAGCAGCAAGCTGTTGGGCAGACAGCAAAGCCTGAGGCAGCCATGGTGCAAGACCAGCTCCTGTTGCTGCATGGGCAAGAGAAGGTCACACAAAGGTCTGCCAGGAGTCACAGAGGCAGGGCTCAGATGACCACAGGCTGAGCAATCCTCCCCACAGAAAGATCCTCACATAGGCTAAAGAAAAACCCAGGCTCCAGGACTTGTTTCTAGGATGCAATGCTGAGACACAAGACCACAAAAAGATTTGCAATCTCTGGCCCAGGACATTTCCACTCTGCTTCATCTGCCAGGCAATGACGCTGCAAGAGCACAGTTTAATCCAGTAAACCTAACCCAAGAACTGGCAGTGCTAGTGAAATTAAGACCCATGTTTTGCTGCAATGGATGCACACAGCACTTTGCAGGCTGCTGCCTGTAGCCAGAGAAGTAGCTCTGGCCTGCAGTGCACCAAGGAAACTCACGTTGGCTGGGAAGTCTATTGCTACCTTGTCTCCATTATCCCACATGCTACACATTTCCTCTGTCACCAGGGAGGGCAAAGACGGACAAGTCTGGATAAATATGCCAAGTTCAATGCAGTATTTACAGCTACTAACCTGGATACAAGACTCATGGAGCCACTGGATGACACATCAGTAACAGAGGAAGCATCCGAGTCACCTGCAGGAAGGAACAAACTCAGGTTTTGTCTCCGTGAGGAGTGAACACACACAGAGTTAGGAAGGGAAGAGAGAAAATAAATGCTCCAGAGGACAGAGCCTTCTAGCTGCCCCAAATCCTTGGATCTTGGGTTTTGACCACTAATTGGTGTTGTAAAAAGCAGGGAAAGGGGCAGAGCTGACAGCCCTACACAGAGAGAAGATGAGTAACCACTGTACCAGGACAGTGGTGAGCCCTAGCCTGCTCCCCAGAGGAACCCATGCAGGAACCCTTGCCCTCCTTGCTGCTACATCACTTTTGGGTTCAGCACATCCTGAAATGACAGCATGAATGTAAGACAGAAGGACAGCTGTGCTCACCCTCAGCTCCCAGACAGCTCCCACACTCCCCACTTTGAGGCATGGAGCAGAGCCCTCCCAGGGGAACCAGCACTCACTGTCCTCATCCTCCTCTTGACTGCAGCTCTCGTCCAGGCCATCAGGAAGTTCTTCCTCTGCTTCATCCTGGGGATGGCTTGGCTCCAGCAGTGACTGATCAACAGTGGCACTGGGACAAAGGACATCACATTAGAAGGAATGGCACATGCTTTCTGGGGCCAAAAAAAACCCAGAAGCTCATGAGGCAGCATGAGATAGTGTGGGCAGGGGAGTGAGAGCACTGCCCTCTCCAGTGCAAGCACTCATCCCAAGCTAGCAAGATGGAAAGGCCCAAGAGGACCCTGAGAAGAAACATGTTCCAGAGCAGCCAGAAAGCAAGAGGCACAAGGACACCCTCTCCCAGTAGGAGAGCAGGAGCTCCATGTCCTTGCATCAGCTCTGTGTTCCTTTATGAACCCATGTCTTTGACTAGGAAAGCCTGGCTTGACAGTAGGCTTCACTCAACATACTTGCAGAGCCTGCCACTGCAGGCAGGGCCCCATGACTGAAAAACAAACTAGAAACACCATACAGCAATTCCATGCTGTGGCTGATGGAGAAGGTGGAAGGGCTTGTGTCAAGCTGGGGGTGGCAGGAAGGCTACCCCCACACCAGGATGCCACAGTTGAGTTTTGCTCAGGGACACAGCCCATGGTAATCCTTACAGCCACTCCTGTACCACCCACAGTGCATCCTCTCCCAAAACACACAGCTACAATGGCCAGCCCTGCCCAGCCCGCCCCAGCCTCCCTCCTCCTCCTGCCTCTACTTACTCAAGCTTTCCTGGGACAACAGCCCGGACCCATTTCTTCTCTTTTTCCAGTTGAATGGTGGACATCTGTTTTGTCACTTCAGAGATGGTAGCGAGGTGTAGAGGCTCAGCTCTCACCACCTGATTCCCTGCACGTGGGCTGTGCGTGCCCACGAGCCGGCAGTCGGAGCTGCCATGGGGAGCGCCAGCACGTGAGGCCAAAGGACAGACGCTGACACGGTTAGTGCAGGCAACAGCACCACCGGTGCCCCTAAGGCTCGAGTTACTGTTAAGGCGATGGCTCCCCCGCTCCAAGTTCAGAGGAGCAATAGTGTCTTTCGGGGTGAGCTGCGCTCCGACGTGCTGCCTCCTCCTGCTGTTCCAGTTGGACAGGCTGCCCACCTTTGTAAGGCCAGAACTTCTGACTTGGCACCCAAAGCCGTTGCGTGCGGCAGCCTGACTGGCTAGCTGCTGCACAGCCTTCAAGAGGCTCTTCTCCGGCTCCTTCTCTTTTGAGCTGTGAACTCTCTTCTGAGTGTCCTGCCATGAGCACTGGTCCTTCCTGAGGACAGCACTGCTTGGCACAAGGGTCAGGGAGGGGACCATGGTTTTCTTCAACACAAGGTCACTGTTTGTCACTGCTCCATTGATCAGGCTGCTAGAGAAGCTGTCTCCATTGCCCCCAGAGTGGGGCCATGAGGCAGCAGGAGAACTGTGGGGTTTTTCCACCTTTTTGATCTCCAGTGACTGCAGAAAAGGCACTTTAGCACTGCTTGGACGTAGGAAGGAATTGTTATTGAGCACTGGTCTATAGGAGCTGGCAGCCTGCTGACCTGAGCTGAGGGCAGAGCCTTTGACCCCAGTCCCAGACTGCTCCTCCACCAGCACAGGAAGCAGGCAGGGTTCCATCAGCGAGGAAGACATCGCCCTTCCCGTGGCAGAGGCAGTGCCAGGAGGGCTTTGGAGGCTGTCTTCAGTGGGCTGTGCGTGGCATAGTGACGGTGAGCACAAGAAGCAGGATTGCTGCAGAGGGATCCCTGAGGGCAGCAGGATTCGATCCTGGAAAGCACTCACATACCTCTTCTCTAAATTCCAGGCGGGTTTCGCCTGCTGCTGAGAGAGGCGCCAGGCCCAGCACGGCTGAGCTCTCCCAGCCAGAAGGGTGCCTGATTTGGGCCCAACACTCTTCTCCTGTTTGGGGCCCAGATTAGCATGGTCTGGTCCTGAAGAGGCCATGTAGAGCCATAGCACGTGAGGCACAAGCAAGTCAGTCATCTACAGCAGCATCTTTGCTGGCCTGAAACAAGAAAACGGTATAAAAGGCACTGTTACCCTGTCAGGGCACAGCCCAGTGCACCATGAGGAGAGCAGGGTGAGCTGCTTTTCCTGCAGGATGAAAACCACATCTCCATCTGCTGAGCTCCCCAAGAGTCTCCCCAGACCAAGTCAGAGAAGAGCTGGCATCTCACATGAAATCAGAGGATGCAAAGGAAACTGCAGAGAGGGACATCTGCAGGAAAGCTTGTACCCTGCAAACATGCAGGGGTGCCTGACTGCCAGCCAGGGCCATGGGGCAGCAGCCCTGTCTGCAAGGAGAGGCTGCCTGCCTTGGACCCACACAGCTGTTGGAGCCCACTCTTACAGGTCTGTGTCTCCAGGCTACACCATATGCTCCACTACCAGCTCTCCTGACTCCACTACAAGCATCAAAATGTCTGCTTTTTTTTTCTCCCCATTCCTTAAAGCTTCAGCTTCCAAGGTTACACAGCTAGGTGAGAACCTCAGCCCTGCTTTTAAAAGGAACATTTTTCACCTTTGTAACCCCAGAGAAAGGCTCAGTGAGGTCTGAGGGCACCCTAAAGAGCTCAGTGCTGAGAAGGCAGCAAGGAGCAAACGCAGGGCTGTTCTAACATCAACACCTCGGTTTCCAGCAGAGACTGGCAGTGCTGTGCACTCATATTCCTCCCCGCTGCAGTCCTACAGAAAAATCTCCTGCAAGGAGCAACTGGCAGACTACAGAGCTGCAGACGTAAGTGTCCTGAATCCTCCTAGAATGAACTATTGCACCACACCCGCAACATCCTCTTGCCTGGGGAGAAGGGAAAGAGAAAACAAACCATGAGCCAGTTATTTGTCTTGCTTTAACACATGCCTGGAGGGCCCCTGGATACAGCTGCGATAGGAATTTGTATTCCAAGCAGGCTGGCTGGCTCTTCCACCTTCAAGCTCTGATATGCTTGCATGTTTTTTTTTAAAAAAAAGAAAAAGTATAAAAAGAAGGGTAAGCAGAGCATCGACCATCATCCTCTTGATTTTCTTGCAACACACATACACACTCCTGTCTCACCTGAAAGTCAAGCCTTAGATGCAGCAGTTAAAGTGTAGCTTGGAGACCCTGGGGTTGCTCTGTAGCACTGTGATAGCAGCTCTCACCACCACAGGGCTGGGTCAGACAGACCTACACTTGCCAGACCTCAACCTGTGAATCAGCCTCAGTCTCCAGCACATACCAGGTCAGCAGCATCTCAGCAAGAGGCTGTACAATATGGAACATCCCATGCAGGATCACACAGGAGCTACACATTCTCAAGGAGAGATGCTACCCTGCCAAGCTCTGCAAGGAAGGTTGCAGGGCCACTCAATACCCACAGGGCTGCACTGCTTGTTAGCACTTGTACAGTCAAACTGAACTGATGAAGACAGGACATCTGCATCCTTATGGGAGCTGCAGCCCAGAGGGACTCCAAGTCCCAAGGGGAAGGGAATCCCACAACTGAGATGTACCTCACTATTCAACTGCTACCTAATCTGCCCCCGGCAGCAAACCTGGCTGTGTTGTGACATTTACAGCAATTAGCACAGAGCGAAGAAGTTGTGGCTCAGATGCCACCACCTGCCTGGCTCAAGTTTCCCCCAGTAGCCAAGGGAGCAAAGCTCAGCTTCCACACGCTACCCCCTCGGATGGTCAAAAGCGCACTCAAACCACAAATTGAACCTAGCACACCAATGAACTAGGTGTGAAAGAGCAAATTAAAATTCAAGAAGAATGAAAGTGTTCCCGGTGTCTCTGCTTAGAGGGGACTGTCACTGTGGCATCACAACATGCCCTGCCAGCTTGGCCACCACCTGCGCTCTCACCCGGCTGTGAATGACCTTGCAAAACCAGCCTGCAGTGAAAGCCATCTGTGCCTCATCTCCACCCGGATTTACAGCTATCAGTGGATCATCCCACTGTAAAAATAAAAAGTGATGGGGCCTAATGAAGCTGTAAAAAGGGACATGAGTCTTACAGTCAGCTTACACACAGGTGTGAAAATGCCAGAAGCCCTGTGTGACCCCAATCTGGAGTAAGTGCCAACAGCGGCACAGATGTGACCAGCACAGACACAGGGGTACTGCTGGCAGCTGCAGCTGCTGGGGTGGAAATCTGGCCACGGCGTGGCCTCAGCTGCCACTGCCTGGAGCCTAGCCTCATTGCAGCACAGGGAGAACATGCTGAACTTGTCTCTCTACGGGGCGGTTTTGCCATGGAGTTGCTCAGTCAACACAGGGTAGGAGTGCGCTGGAAGCTGTGCCTACATAAGGAAGAGAAGAAGCAGGGCCTTTAAGTACAGCTTCCAGGTGAGGATGGTGCCAGCCAACAGCTAGTAACCACCATTTCCCCATGGAGACACAGGAGCTCTGAGAGAGGGGCAGGAAGGATGAAAGGAAGATGCACCCACATGGAGCAGGTGAGGATGCATCCAGATCAGCAGAATCAGCCCATGCCGCCTTGTCTTTCCCCCTCTGCCCCATGTGCTTCCCCACATCCACTCTTCTGTCTCACCTGCACGCCAGCACAGTCACTCCTTATGTCCACCTGCAAACCGTCTCCCATGCTCACTGCAAGGACAGCACAACAAAGCAGCTGCTGAGCATCCAGGAGAACTGGTGGAGATGAAGGCACCTTCACATGCCAGGCTATGGCCACAACAGGGCAGCAGCTGCCACATCTCTGTGGCTCTGGGCAGGAAAAACATCATCTGCCTCAGGGAAATCCCTGCTGATTACCAGTCAGGGAAGTTTTCCCTTTACATTTAACTCGAGTCAGAGTTTTGAGGTGGAAGAAGGTCACAGCTTGATGCAATCTCTAGTTCTGCCAACCCAACCCTATGGCAAAGGAGCTGGAGTCCATTCTGCAGCTCACAACGGCAGTAAAACTACACTTTGGAATTTTATTGTAGAAACATGAGCTGGGAAAAGCCCAGGATAAACTGGCCAGGCTGGAATTCAAACCCAACCAAGTAATTAATGGATTTTGGCTTGGACTTACTGACCCACAATATAGAGGCCAAAGTTGTCACTGTTGGAGTGACCGTACAGCTGCACTTGCTTACAACTATTTTGCTAGCACCTTTTATTGCCACACAGCCTGCTCAGAGGCTTTAGGGCATCAGCTGGAGCACTGCCACAGCCTGTGCAAATGTCACATCAGGGGCACACAGGGCCACCACACGCCCTGGCCTCTGTGTACCCCATCGTATGTCAGTGAAAATCATTTCTTCCAGCCCGAGCCCCACTGTGGCATGTGTTCCCCTAACGGCAATGTGGCAGCTCTCTGCAGTCCCATTCCTAACAGGAAAGGACAAGATCATAAGAGCCCGAGTGTCACAGGAGTTTGGTTGGGGAGGTTATTTTAAACTCAGCTTGGTGACACACTTAAAATAACAAGAGCTTGCAAATGTATGTGCTTCGAGCTGACCTGATAACAGGCTGTCAGCCTCACATAGCCCAAAGTCACAAGGAGGGGAGGTTAGAAAACTGTGCTTGCTATTGTTTTCTATGCCATTGCAGGGTGCAATTTCTGTTCTTTATGATTAAAAGGGATAACGTGTTTTTCTAAATGAGACTCGAGTTCACACCAAGTTCCTCACTCGAAGCTCTGGGGCTTTTGAACAAGCAAGTTAACAACAACACCAAACAGGTAGGTTTTAAAATGAATATATTTCAAAATAAGGGTTTGTACCCCTTTAAAAAAATTTAAAAATTTGAACAAGTCCAACACCATTGATCTGAAACCAACTGATTGAGTGCCTAAAGCTGTTCCAATACCTGGTAGCTAGGTACAAACTTGTTGTTTCAACAGCACAGAAACAGCCCTCCCCTACATCAGCTCCAGGAAACAAATTGCCTCAAGTGCAGTCACACACTGAGACAAAGCAATGTCTGACTTCACCCACAAGTTCAGGCTGAAGAGCAAAGGGTTCTGCTGGGAGGACAAAACAGCTCAGAGACAGTTTGGCCAACACAAAAATGCCAGTGGCACAGGGACCAACAGTTGTGCTGCTTTGCCACACAGTTAAGCACTGTTGTTCCCTCTCAGCTCCAGTATCATCCTGCAGAAACACATTTTGGGTGCAAAACAAGAGGATGACAATTTCTCTTTTAATCAACACCACAAGTTTTTGCTTGGCCACTCAGGTCAAAAGATACCAGTGAGAAACCACCCACTATGGGGATGCATCAGCAAATTCCACCTGCATCCTAGGATTACATCTGTGCCCAGAATTTGCGCTGGGGCTAGTAATTTCCATTCAACAGCTGCAGTGCAGAACTCCACTCCACACTGAATAAAGGAGGTATGAGAAGTGTATGGCTGCTCAAAATGAGCCTTTACCTAAGCAGAATAGCTCCAGTGTTCACTCCCATTCCCGAGGTGGAGGTAGACCTCCTTAGGGGCAGTAGGGTGTTGGACCAAGCCATGGAAGAGCTGGAATCCAGCCACGACCTCACCCTGTGCTGCAGCAAATGCCTCCCTCCATGCACACACAGGTTGGGCTGGGGACTGAAGGCTCTTGTGTTTGAGTTCACAAGGGACTTTCCCACCACTCTCAGGGCACTGGAGCACAGCACCAGATGATGTGAAGGACTCCATCATCGTTAGGCAGACAATCCAGGGCTGCAGCTTTGCCATGGAGAGAGTGCACCAGGGACATCTAAAATAAAGGGCTGTCTCAGTGCTCACACCAGGAGGGCTGACCTAGCTGTGACCAGACAGTGTGTGGGCCATAGCAAAGGCCAAAAGGTGCAGGGTGTGGAATCCCCCAAGGATATCAACTTTTCTCCCTGGCAGATTCCCCAGGCCCCAAAGTGGACACGCTGCACAATGACAGTGGACCACGAAGCTCTGTTTCTCCAGCAGTGAAGCTGGGAAGTGCCTGCCCTTGCTCCCATCCCTGATTTATTCTTTCTCATCGTATGGGCTATGGGACCAGTTGTACCACAGTGTAAAAGAAGAGTAGGGAAGCGAGTCTGGGTTAAAAGCGACAAGCTAAACCATGGGGTGTTTAACAGCATTTCACCAAGGAGGTCTAAAGCCCCTTCCTGAAGATTCAAACTGAAGGGACAGCAACTGAGCTTCATGATGGGAGAAAAAGTACAGGAGAATTACACAGCAAGACTTGTGAAGACTTTGGCTACCAGTGCAGGAACTGACAGGTGGTCAGCACAGCTCCGTCTGGTCTTAGGCAGTCTGGCCTTTAGTAGAGAAATAAAAGTGGAAGATTTTGAGCGAGTGGAACAAGTATAAAATATCAACACATAGCAATGAGACAAGAACTACTCAATTAGTTCAAAACACATACATTCTTTGTCCATCCTCTGCTCTTGATACTTTTTACTGAAACATATCTACAACCAGAAAAAAGGGTTCCCAGGTTTGTCTTTCAAATATATGCTGAGGACACTTCCAAGTCCATGACAGGAGTGGGAAAAATTCCTCTGGAGGCACTGCAAAAACCTCACTCCATACAGCAATCTCTCAGAGCTCAGGAGTGGAGAAGAAAGAGAGATTGAAGTTGAGAAGAAGCTGCCAAATACTCACAGACTTGATGCCCGGGACAAACCTAGGAAATGCCAAGGAGTGACACCCAGCCAGAATGGCACAGCAGCCAAAGCGCATGACCTGTGTCGGTGACACAACATCACGCAGGCACCATTATCTGGGGACAGTGACATTTGTCCCCTCAGCTCCTCCTCAAAATGTGATCCCCGCTGTGCTGAGAAGGGCCCCAGGCATGAGTGAGGAGTGGGAGGGGCCAATCTGTATCAACAAACTTCACCTAACACAAAAGTTAACGACTGCAGCAAGGCAGCAATGCAAGAACAGAGTGCTACTATCTGCTGGGTACAAACACTAAGAATCAAGGAAAACTCATTAGAGAAAACTCTAATCAGACCAACAATTCACTGTTAATTCCCCCAAACTGTTCAGAAGCCACTAGGTGTCACCTGCTTGTTCAGTGAGGAACACACCACAATGAGCAAGAGAAGTAGCATCTCAGGGAGTCATGGAGGCAGGGTTTTGATGTGGAGCTGAACTCTGCCTCCCATGAGCTACCCACAGCCCAGCTAGGCGGGGTGACAGGAGGCTGGAACAGTGCTACAGGGCTTTACACACCTGTGCCCCTCATTCTCAGCCCAGACCCTGGAGGCACTCAGGAAACACTCCAGGCTTGTTTCAACTCAGCTCTGCCTTTTGCCTGTCAGACCCATCGGTTTCTTTTTACAACACAAGAGCTGTCAAGGCAAGACCCCAATGGAAGGACGAACAGCCAGGCTGCCCCAGTGCCCCACTCCGACCTGGTCAATCCCAGCTCCAGCCTCACAGCTGCTCCAAGT